GCGCACTATCACACAAGCATGGTTACCGGTCTCCAATTCATATCGGAGTCCGCCTAGGCCAACCAGGCCATCAATTCCTCCGGCGTCGGTTAGTTGGTACCACACTCGTCTGGGAGGATGAAAATAGTGACTCATACATGTCTTGGCCACCGCAATTCGAATTCAAACGTGTGGGCCACTTACGAATTCAATATGCGACTACAATTCTGAATAGAAGTCGAATGCGGGGCACATCCTTAAATAGGATTGGTTAACACCCAGAGATATAACCTTTACCTTTTACTACAAACGAAAGCTCAACAATTCAAGAACTATGTAACAAAATGTGCTATAATGAGGAGTAATCGGTGATTACAATACAGGACAGATCCCAACATAGAGTCGCTGTCGCTTTAGCTAATCAATCGACTGAATTTGTGTCATGTTGAGGAGAGTGTTTGCTTCTGATGGGAATCGTTATTGCCAACAGCCCTCAAGAATAGGGGGCCGATTTCTGTCTCGAAGGGCGCATGGACTTAGACGCCTTATTTACGACCTTTATACCGGAGGCTGGTACTACCTACTACAAAGAAATCCACCGTCCAATTTATACAACCTCAGCTGGATATTACCTGGTTTTTAGCCTTGCCATAGGATCTGAACACTTAGAACACTGAACTTTATCGCTGTCGAGCTTCTCTTTCGCTTCGATGAGACATCTGGCCGCGCTCACCAAATCTCTCTTGTCAACGATACCGTCAAGGCATCGCAGAAATTGTCGGCGGTTACCTAAACAGCAAATAATCCTCTGAGCCAGCGATATTACTAGAACAATTATCCTACCAACGAATTTCTCTCAACGTCTTTTCTACATCTAACAGTTCACAGCCTCACTTTTCTAGTAAACAGTAAACAGTGATTAAACACAGGTAACTAAAATAAGGCATCCTTTGAACCCTACATATCTTCACTTACTCGACTGGTGCTGATAGCGGTAGATCCTCTTTTTTTCAGAAATCAAAGAAAAGAATTTGTGTACAGATACAGTATTCGTATAAAGGAACCAACAATAAGGTGAAACGTCTTACTGGGGCTCAATTTAGGGAGCACATCCTTTCCAAGCTGTCCCATGATTGCCTTCATCGAATGCAAGTACCAGTTGTAGTGAATGGCTCGTACTTTCTCGTAGCCCTCTTTGTCCAACTTCACTTTGTCGAAGTCTCGACTACCCATCAGTCGCGTTTCACCTTCAACACTCGATTCGGGACAATCGAATAAACTTCATAGTGCTTCAGTGACAAATTATGTAGTTACACTCTTCGTTACCAGTATTCAGACTTCTCTTCTCTTTTACTATTTATGTATTCAAAATGTGGTTTTTGCTCGCTTACAGAGAATACTCCTTACCTTGGGCAATTTCTTGCCATTATTTCACGGTGGACGCGCTCGTGAATCTCATAAATATTGTGTTGTACGGAAAGTCTCCGCCAACTTTCGACACCCCGTGTTTATCAACTGTTGTACAAAAGACAAAGGGCTTAACCTTATAAAGTTATATTTTTTTGAAAGAGTAGGTCATCTTCTATATTCCGGTTGGGATTCTGTCAACATTTGTCGAAGTTTGTCTGTACAGGACTCGTGTGAGAATTGAGAACCACTGGCATCTAAAGTTTGACGCATTTTTGGCATCTAAAGTTTTTCTTCTACCGCAAGGCCTATAAAGCGGCTCAAGCCGCGAGAAGGACGAGTGCCGTCTGAGTAGGCAATGATCTAGAGGAATGTACAGTGCATGATTGGTTTGCGAAATCCAAACAGAGTGAATTCATCCTCGAAGACCGGCAGCTCTCGGGGAGACTATCATCTGTTAAAACGACCAAATCAAAATGTCAACGGAAGCTCATCGGCACAGCACTCCTCGTGGAGTAAGAGAAAGGCTTAGTGTTTTGAAATCAACCATCCGTGACCATTTGCTGGATTTTGGGTCTGTAAAGCGCCTTGATGTTGGGAAACCTCAAAAAATGAGCAAGCGCAATATTGTGGACCGTGCCTCCGTGTGCGACTGGTTGCCCAAACGAAATAAAAACGAGCTTTTTTCTAAAACCCATGAATACGAAAATTGAATTGTGTATAACAATGAGGAGCGATAACGATCGTGGAGCTTTCGATGAAACCGTCACAAACAACTCCAAAATTAAAATCTAAGTGTGGAAGATTAGGTATAATGCTGGCGGGATTGAATGGGAATAATTTATTACGAGCTGTTGCAGCATAGTCGAACGATAATTTCGCAAAGGTATTGTAATCAGCCAAGCAATTTATAGGAAGCGATAGCAGAAGTGACCCGAAATGGCCAATCGTGAGGCGTTTTCTTCCAAAAGGATACCCCCGGACACACGTTTTTTTGCCAATCGTCAAAAAATGGTGAAGCTTGGGTGGTATGTCCTACCACATTCCCCATATAGCACCACCAGAATATCATTTGTTTAGGTTTCTGTAGGGTTCTTTGAATGGGAAATCGTTCAGTCTACTAGAGGACTGCAAAAAGCACCTGAGTTTTTTCGATTCCAAGTCTAGAACCCTATGACAGTGAGATACTGAAACGTACAGGAAGATGGGGAATCCTTGCTGAACATATTGGAGGATATATAGTTTAATCAATGGATTTGTCTTCTAGGAGTTTTCACTCAGAGATGAACCCAAAATCTCCGGAGTCTTTCCGGACAACCCAATAGATCCTTTAGCTTCAGAGACACCCGGCTCTACTTATCTATGGAGGTATTGAGCTTCCTCTAGGAATTTTCTGTAATCAAGGAGTGAAGACAACTTTGATCCGTTAGGAACCTATGAGAGGACGTTAGCATTAATGCCTTTATATTCATAGCATATTCATCTGCTGATGTAGCTTTATGATTACAGAATTTCATAATATGCAAGAAGACTTTGCTCAAGACACCATTGGATTTTTGCCTCTTCATTTAGGTGCCTTTAGTTGTCCTGATCAAGCGCACTATAATTAGCATCGAAGGCTTCCTTAGATTGTGTAGAAATGCTCCTCCAGTAGTGAAAACTCTCAATCTACCATCAGCTATTACAGTTCTCTATTGACTTGAAGATGTATCAATCGTGGACAGTGTGAGCGAAGTGCCTATATCGAGGGGGTTTTTGGTCTCTAAGGCTGTTCGACTTTATACCCGAAACGATAATGACGTGACGGTAGAGATATACTGGAGAGCACGCGATTGCGAAGTTCAAGTGGACTATGACGCGATATGACGTAACACAAAAGTTCATATAGGAACTATAACAAAAGTCAAGTTATGTATTTCTTATTATGTACAGAGAGTGCCTCCACTCAGAGAAAGTGTGAAGTGCAGGTTAATAGGAAGTTCAGTACTAGTGACCCTTTCTGAGAGAGTCTTTCGGTTGCATTTCTTCCGAGTTCACATTTCCCGCACAAGAACGACCTAATTTTGTTTAGATTCTCAAAATTAATAAGCAATTGGAGGCCCGATATCCTTGAGCTATTCAGTTTAGGTCACTCCTGATATGATCTAGAATTCGCGTATAAATGTGCTGAGATCGAAGCATAGGGATCTACGTCAACATATAACATATAAAAGCAACGAACTTACTCGTCTGAATCATAGCCAGTATGAGAATAAAAAGCCGAGTATACATGTGCCTGAACAGAGAAATTTATAAACAACAAGTTCTTAAAGGTTTCTTTTACTTCGCTAGAAGAAAACATTCAAGAGCAATAAATGAAAGGGAAATCAGGTTTGAAAGTTCCGAAACTCATAGTCATCGGAGAGAGAACAAAATCACATCAGAATCTGCTAGAGATATCTTAATAATCCGTTATCATAACAGACAAGCGAAAGGTGAGAGATACTCTCATCACTACGTTTCAAATCGAATCCGATCATCACTTTCCCGAGAAGAGGACCCACCTATTTATGACGACATATTCGTAAATCATCACTGCGTGAGGGTTTTCAAAAAAAAAAAACTATTTCTGCATTCTTTGAATGTCCTGTCACAGCGAAATTACATAATCTTAAGAAAATTATGCCTTTCCTTTGGATTCAGTGAGGTTTATCTAGTTCCTTTTATTGACAGAAGTTTCGACAAAACCTATCTTTCACACTCGTGGTTTTCCGAAAACAAGAAGGGCTTGTTGCTCGTCGATCATTATTAGAGGCAGCTGCTCTCCCCTCATGGAAGCATTCAATGGAGTCGTCTGCCTGAAAAGAAAGCATATTCACGATATTCCAGTCAAAGTCTGTACCCTACCTTATCCTATGACTCAAGACCAAAACCAGCCCAAGGCCGACCAAACCTACAGCGGCCCATCAGACTATAGCGCTGCTTCCTTTTCCGTTATATGGAAGCATCTATGTCCTATAGAAATACTGTATTTCCCATACAAAAACACCAACGTTCATCAATCTTCGAAGTCGCACTTGCCTTTTGGAGAAGTGTACGACTTTTTGGAGAAACGGAGTCAAAACAAATGAGAGTCAAAAAGAAATATCTCTTGCTTTCTCCCTTGTACTCTCGGTAATGAACTTGTACAGTTGAAAGGTTGGGCCGACGTTAGGTGATTTAATGAATTGTTTCACCTAACAACCTCGCATGGCACAAGAATATTTTAATCACAAATTTTTATGGTCTTGAAAAATGATTAGTCGGATATTTTTCCATATTCGCTATTCTGGTACTTAAAAAGACGTAAGCCGAACAACTGCGTAATACACTCATCCTCTCACCCTTCACCTAAGGGGTGTTTCAGAGCTGTGTAAGTCCCTGCTCTGCTTTTAATCTGCTCGCAATATTCCTGTGCTGTTGGGTGCTTATTCAGCTGTCGAGTTAGCAGATCTTTTGTCTCATTTACCAGCCACTGATTGTCTGCTTCAGCTTTCAGTTAAGCACGTCTGCTTCACTCAGTATATTCGGCCCCTTGTGCGCGAAATACTCTTTTATTTTTGGTGTTCGTAAACTGATGGATTTTTCTCCAATGGGGATTATGCTGTTATCCCGTTCAGCTAGTGGACACCTCCAAATTATGGCAACAACTTACGTCCCATGTCTTCGTATAACGGTTATTATTTCAAGTTTTTTCTCACACTCCGATAAGCGGTTCATGGAAAGTGCAATCTGTTGGCGCAGCAGGCACACTGGTTGATTTATGTGGTTTGAACTTTCGCTCTAACCATAAGTGGTGGATGATTTATGTGGTCTGAACATTCGCACGAATTCGATCCGTATGGAGTTTCAAATGCTCCTCGTTTCTTGTAATATCTGTCCAATGCCTATCACCGGCCTCTGCTTTGAAGTAATTACTGACTATTCAACTAATTATGTCTCGTGTCAGTCCGCTGTTGCGAATCAAACGAAGTATAGGATGTTCTGGAGCAACCCATACATAGGCGACGGCGTTGGGCTAAGGATTGAAAAACATAAGGAATGAAGCCGCTGTTGTTGCAACTAAATAAATTTTGGTCTTTTCAGGGTTATTTGCATCACATGCCAACCGTTGATCCTCAATTTCTATGAGCGGGCACCAATAATTACCATACCCTCACCCCACTGTGAGCCAATGTATTACAGTTTGAAGGTATTCATCGCTCGACGAACGCGAAGTACATCAATTATTATTCTTTTATACTAGCTTTGGCCATCCTGATATTAGTTTGATATCGCACAGTAGTTAATCGCACTGGTGGACGATCTCAACCAAATCGCATGATATAGCTGCTCAGCGCAGACTTCGAACTTCTTCGATGAACAGCAGCATCCATAATCTTGAATCGCTTACGGAGTAAGGAGGAGCACTCCATTTTTTCTTTGCACTTTTGTGTATCTTCTTCCTGGCATCGTAGTGAGTACCGGACGTGAAACGGGCCTCGCAGGAGGATGGTTTGATGTAAAAAGAAGTATGGACAAGAATAAGTATTTTGTATTTCTCGTGGGATTCAGGAAGGATAGTGCCACTTTTCCACATGGTTAATACACTTGTGGGATCTTGATATTCGTTATGTGCTGTATAGCTTCCTGCTTGCTGATTGAGCTTGGCTGTCTGAGGTTTGGATAGCCTTTTCTGTCTCATGAGCACAAAAGCTCAGCCAGTCGATGAATGTGAGGCAATAAGGCAATTATTCGGAAGTACCGATTGTAGCGTTATTCCAGTACCTTGATGCCCCTGTGCGAGCTGAGCCGAGTGCTTGGCCGCT